TGTAGACACTTGTAGAATTCTCTAGAAGATATGATAAGAGTTTATAAATAGGGCATGATCCCTCATTTGTTAGGAAGAAAAAATAAGCTAGACAAAGCTCAAGCTATTGTAAGCTATCATCATTCTAATAAAATTCCTTTCTCCTACCCACTTTGTCCATCAAATTACTTTCTACCAAAATCTTCCAAACTATTAACTTTCAATAAAAAGCCAACTATTTTTTACCTCCAAAATTATTCCATACGAAACATCCTCAATCATCCTATCTCATCACTACAACAACACAAAAACTATCAAATTTTAATAGCTATTATGGTAATGTTTAGAAAGTGATATATTGAACAAAATATTTTGTTCAAGTGCGTTGTTGTCCCTTAAGAATTGTGTGTTTGAACCTAACTATTTAGGTATTGAAGTGCCAAATAAATAATAGTATATATGAGTTTTGATGTGTCCAATATATATACTAGAGAAAACTCAAAAATTTACTTTATAATTAGTTGGAAGATAATGCTTGATTCCTACCTGTAAGGAAAGCAATATATTGGCAGCATCACTGAGTCGTTCAATTTCCATTTTTGGACCAACAATTTCTGGTGGCATCATTGAGAAGAGAAGGCAACACTGAATAATTAGAAAAGATAAGAAAAATAGTTTGTAAGAGCCCATCTAAATGTGTTTTTTCCATTTCTTACCTCATTTCCAATTTAAATGATCTTTCTCAACAAAATTAGATACCTTCAATGCTTCTGCAGTGCAATCCGATACTTGCCACCCATGATCTTGATCCGAAAAAGTCCATGAGCCTTTAGAAATATGGCGGTGCATGGCTTTAAAGTCGCCAGAAGGGTTATCTTTGACCTGAGACTTCTTTATGAAGTCGTGCCCTTTCGCAAGAGTCTGGCCTATTTCTTCAGTAAGATCACTAGCTAGCAGTGCTTGTATAGCAAAACCAGTATCCCACTCCTGACTTCCAAAACTCTGCATTAAAATGGCCATTGGAAAGTTTAGGAATTGGAGTCAATAATGAATTCTAAATTGATATATGAATTACATAGTTTTTGCAGAGTAGAATGCAAAATATGCGTGGTTGTAGAAGGAAATGTATATTGTCTTACTTGCATCTTCATTCCATCTTCGGCTATCCATAGATAAT